GTTTCTGTGTTAGCCCAGTTGCAAGGACATAGAGGACGATCGTCTCGCTCACCTCACTTGCTCCACGACGAAAACCTATATCTACATTTTAGTCTTTGCAAGGCACGTGCTACGTTCTAAATCTTTTGTTGCATGCCGGACCTACCCGTTGAACATACGTGGATGTAGTTTTCAGGCACACAGTTAGGTTCCTTGTGGTGGAACCAGCTCATCAGGGTTTAAGTTTTAAACTTAACACTGATACTCGCATTTTTTCTAGATTTCTTTCATATTTTCAGACGATATTCGTTTAGTGGGAAGAGCCAAAGGAGAAAGAGGAAGAGCAAGCAAGCAAGAAGCCGGGAATATCGTCTTCTTGCTTGCTCTTCCCACTTGAGATATATGCCAAATGAGAAAGAGAAAGAGCAAGCAAGCAAGCATGATGCAACCATCCACGGTACTTGACAGCCGTGGATGGTTGCATCATGGACGATTGCACTATCCATGGTTCGTTGAAGGACACCAACAAGAGAACTCCAAGTGACACGGTAAGCGCATCATTGGCGCCCGCATCACTGTGCAGCCCCCGAGACGAAAGAAATTTCTTGCAGACTCCAACTACACCTCATCCTCGTGCAATCGATGATTGAGTCCGCCAACTTGAAATATATGCCAACGATTCACTAATTCATCGTGAGCTTTGATGTGACCGCATCAAGGATATGGAGAGGAAGATCGTTGAGGACACTTAAACGGCCCTTGAAGCTAGCCTTAAGCTCATGGCAAGATGCAGCGAGTCTTGCTTGAACCAAAAGAGTAGTGACATTGCCTTTTTTATTGATTTGTGCTACAAACGAAATGATGAACATGTGAAATCTTATAGAGCAAGAGGAATGCCACCTCTCTTTTTTTCTTTTGTTCCCTTAGTTGAGCTAAAGTAATTGTGTGGATGGTCATCCGAAGTGAATTTCATCTTTCTAATTTGTAACATAAGTAATTGCCAAGAATGAGGGAGAACCATTCGATAAATCGCCATAAACAATTTACAAATGTATGTATGTTTCCTCTAATGTGTATACCGCCTGTCCAGAAGTAGTGACCAAAAGATCACAAAATCTTTGCTTTTATGAAAGAAAATAATATATGGCACGTTTAACGCATTATCTCCAAGAGCTTCAGGAGATAAATGGTGACCTTTTGAAGGGCGCACACGACCATGCCGAGCAAAATGCAGCGAGTCTTACTTTTGAAAAGATGCAACCACCATGAGGAAGACATAAAGCTTTCTTAATTATGCAAATCAACTTCAAGGCACTATAACATGGAGCTGAGTTAGAATCACATGCTTCGACTGCGAACCACTTCAAATTTCCGCATATACTATCTACCTCTGGCCACTCGCACAATCCACAACCCTCCGATCAAAGGTTGTATCATGATCAGATATTCAGATGGGTCTAAATATAAGCGCTGTTTTTATCAAGGTAAAGACACTAGTTAGGCCACTTGCAGACAGTTCACGGAAAATAATGATGTGCCTATTCCATGTTCACGAGGCTAACCTAAACCTACATCTATATTGATTTTAGTTGTTGCAAGCACGTGCTGCGGCGCAGAGGCGGAGAAAAATAGCGATGCTTTTCTGTCTAAACCCCTGATCCTACAATAGGTACACTACCTATGGATTATATGTTGAATGTAGTTTTCGTGCACATAGTACTCATATAGTGCGAGCTTATCATCAACAACTTGATGTCTGGATCCACACAAAAGTGGCGCCTCCTTGGAGGCTGCAAGGGGCAGATCGCTGTGCTCCCCTTGATGACCACAATCAATTAGTAGTATTAACTAAGCCTGTCCGGCGGCAACGACATAAACAAACAAATTAATTACTTTGACAGATGAAAAAGCAAGTTACTACTAGTAGTAGTGCTAGCTACTTTGATTGTGGGTCATCGACTCAGGTGACAATGCCGACTGATTAACAAGTGGTCTGAACGGTACGCACGGACTTAACACTGAACAGCCGGTCTTACAAGCTAGGGCCCAGCGGCAGCTAAGGCTAGGACGTGTGCTAAATGTGTTTGTGTGTTCGCCCAGTGGCAAGGACAAAGGACGATGGTCTTGCTCACTTCACTTGCTCCACGACGAAAACCTACATCTATATTTTAGTCTTTGCAAGCCACGTGCTGCGTTCTAAATCTTTTGTTGCTTGCCGGATCTACCCATTGAACATACATCCATAAGGTTTAAGTCTTAAACTTGACAGTGATACCCACATTTTTATGGATTTAATTCAGATTTCCAGACGATATTCGTTTAATGAAAAAAGCCGGAGGATAAAGAGGAAGAGGAAGCAACCAAAAAGCCGGGTATCGGATCAGTAAAAACCATTAGTACCGGTGATCGCGTTTCTTCTGTCAAGAGCAATTCAACGACCATGGATGGTTGCGTCATGGACTATTGCACTATCCATGGTTTGTTGAAGGACATCCAATAGGAGAACTCCAAGTGACACAATAAGTTCATCATTGGCGCCCGCATCGCCATGCAGCCCCCGAGACGAAAGAAATTTCTTGCAAGATCCAACAACACTCCTCATCCCTATCCTCATGCCATCGACGATCGAGTCCGCCAGCTTGAGATATATGCTACTCCTTCCGTCCGAATTTTTTTGTCCCAAACTTGTTTCTCAAATGAATGTATCTAGCACTAACTTGGTGCTAGATACATCCATTTGAGGGACAAGTTTTTCCGGACGGAGGGAGTACGATTCACTAATTCATCATGAGCTCTTATGTGATCGCATCGAGGAGATGGAGAAGAAGATCGCCGTGGACACTTAAACTGCCCTTGCTACTACTTTTAAGCTCATAGCAAGATGCAGCCAGTCTTGCTTGAACCAAAAGAGAGGTGGCGTTGCCTTATTCATTTATTTATTTATTTATTTGTGCTACAAACAAAATGATGAATATGTGAAATCTTATAGAGCAAGAGGAATGTCACCTCTCTTTTTTTCTTCAGTTTCCTTAGTTGAGCTAAACTAGTTGTGTGGATGGTCATCCGATGTGAATTTCATCTTTGTAATTTGTAACATAAGTAATTGCCAAGAATGAGGGAGAACCATTTGATACATCGCCATAAACAATCAACAATGTAAGTATGTTCCTCTAATACGTGTACCGCCTGTCCAAAAGTAGTGACCATAAGATCACCAAATCTTCGCTTTTATGAAAGAAAATAATATATGGCGCATTGAACGTGTTATCTCCAACCGTTTCTAAATTTGAAGAGATAAATGGTGAACTTTTTCAAGGTCGCGCTGCAAAGCCTTATAGGCAAATGAATATAATTCAGGTGGTGGAGGGGCTCCCCCTCCTCCCCCGGTGGAAATTCAAAAAAAAAAAAAAAGGTCACGCGACCTTGCCGAGCAAGATGCAGTGAGTCTTGCTTTTGAAAATATGCAACCACCATGAGGAAGACATAAAGCTTTCTTCATTATTCAAAATCCACTTCAAGGCACTATAACATGGAGCGAGAATCACATGCTTCCAGTGAGAACCACTTCAAATTTCCCCATGTATCTTTCTTGGTGAAGGCACTAGTTTAGGCCGCCTGTCGACAGTTCATTGTTCACGGAATATAATGCTGTGCCTATTGCATGTGCACGAGGCTAACATAAACCTACTCTCTGTATTGATTTTAGTTGCTGCAAGCACGTGCTGCGACCCAGAGGCGGAGGAAATTAGTGATGCTTTTCTGTCTATATCCCTAATCCTACATATGTACTACCTATGGACTATATGTTGGATGTTGTTTTCGTACATTTAGAGGGTGCTTGGATACGTTTTAGTCCCATGACTAAAAATAGCGGGACTAAAACTTGTTAGCCTCACCTATGCTTGGATCCAAATACTAAAAAGACTAAAATCAAATTATTGAGCATTTATTATCCTCCAAACCATCCAATCCAGAACTCGCATGTGTTAAAATAGAGGAATTAAATGAGGAGAGAGAGGGCTAATACATATTTTAATAAGTTTCCTATGACTAAAAGTTTTTAGCCTCAAGACTAGTCCTAGCCTCTCTTTAGTCAGGGGTGCTTCGAACTTTAGCCTCTAAAAACACTATTTTTAGCCAGACTAAAAATAGTCCCTTGAATCCAAACACCCTCATAGTATTACTATAGTGCAAGCTTATCATCAACAAGTAGATCCATACAAAAGTGGTGCCTCCTTGGAGGCCGCAAAGGGCAGATCGCGGTGCTCCAAATGATGGCGAGAATCAATCATTAACTATGAACAAAAAAAGTAATTACTTTTTTTTTGAGACAATGGGTACGGGCTTGGCACCGAAGAGCCCAGCGGTCTTCATCACGTACGAGTGCCAGTAGAACGAGGGCCCATGCCATGTGCTCAATGTGCTCATCACGAGGACGATCCTCGCGACGAAACAAACAGTCCGCCGAACGCGCATGCACCGTCACGGTCAGCGGGCCCCGGTGCTCACCGACAGGTGGGCCCGGATCCGCCGTCGGTCCCCCAGACGGACGGACTTCTTTTCCCCACGTGGTGGCCACCGCCGCGGCGACCGCCCGGCGTTCCCGCCCCCCACGCCACCGAGCGCTCCGCCGCTCCTCGACGGCATCAACAGCCTCCCTGCCCCGCTGCGTGTGGGCCCCACCGCCGCATGCAGCCACGCCCCGAGCGTCGCGACACCCGGCAGTTCCGTGCCCAGCTGGCACTCGACGCACAGCCGGATCGGCTGACGCGTGGGCCCGCTCCCGTGCACTGCTCCGCCACCTCCAGCTTCTCCTCTCCGTCACGGAGGAGCAGTGGGGATGCCCGCGACGGCACCGGCGTGCCACTGACGACGCGGCCCCACGTTGTCAGTGGTCACTGCGCCAACCACTCTGTAAGCCTATATAGAAAGCGGCCGGCAGCTCCTCCTCGGCCGGCCTCCCGCGAATCTCGATCGCTCGTCAACGTCGTCCGAGCCACCGCTTCCCAGCGCTGCCGGCCATGGACGCCTCCACCACATCCTCCTCATCCCCTCTCTGCTTCGCCCAGAAGCCTCCCAGCCCGAGGCCCCTCCTCAACCCCACCCCTCGAGCCACCCACGCCGGCGCCGGCCGCCAGAGAGCCACCCGCCTCCGCGGCATCTCGCCGTCGCCGTCGCCGTCCCCACCGACCCCGCAGCAGCAGCAGCAGCAGCCAATGGAGGCGTTCGGCTTCGACGCGCTCAAGGAGACCTTCTCGGTGGACGTGGCGGCGGCCGAGGCCCGCCCGCTCAACGTGCCGCTCGCCGCGCCCTTCACCATCGCCTCCTCGCGCCTCGACGCCGTCTCCAACGTCGCCGTGCGGGTCGAGCTCTCCAGCGGCGCCGTCGGCTGGGGCGAGGCCCCCGTGCTCCCCTCCGTCACCGCCGAGGACCAGCCCGCCGCGCTCGCCGCCGTTGGACGCGCCTGCGCCGCGCTCGTGGCCGCACGGAGCGCGCCCCTCGGCGCCGTGCTCCAGGACGTCGCCGATGCGCTCCCCGGACACGCCTTCGCATCGGTGAGACATCCACCACACCTGTTTGTCTTCATACTCTTGGCAAGCAATTTTGGTTCAGTTTTCGGTACAATTTTGGAATTTGACAGTTTGAGGAATTCTGCTCCACAAGACAGACTTCAGAGTTTAGAAGTTAGTTCTTTTAGAGGATGTTGATGGAAGGATGGGGAATTGGTTTTTGGATCCTAGGCCTTGATGTAGATGGAGATCGCCTTTTATGGCTCTGGAGCGATTGAGGATGTTGACCACTGGCTCATGCCCAAAATGAATGATAACTGCATAGAGAAATTTTACCCTAAATAAATAGTCCCTCTGTAAACAAATATAAGAGCGTTTAGATCACTACGCAGGGAGTAGTAATTAAGGGACTCTCAACAAAAGCAAGGAGTAACAAAGAAATACATCCAAAATCAGACAAGTCCTACCTTCAAGGGAAAGTTGGTTCTCAGTTCTTAGATTCTGATCCTTTTAGCCCAGATACAACTGCTTTAATTTCTTCTCTTGGAAATTAGTCAGATATATTATCTGGTTCTCAGTATTTCTCCCACTGATACCAAAAGTGTTTTTTTTTTCAATAAAGATACCAAAATTGTTTGGACAAGAGAATCTTCCTCTGATGTGTATTTGCTTGTTCTTTTCTCCAACAAAGGCCAGAGCAGGAGTGGAGATGGCAGTGATTGACGCGGTAGCTAACAGCATCCGCATACCCTTGTGGAGATTATTTGGGGGAGCATCAAACACCGTGACAACAGACATCACAGTATGGTTATCGAAGTATCCTCTGCAGTGGGTTGAGCATGCTTACGTTTGCTTAATCAAAATTGCTGAATTCCTCTATTTCTGAATTTAGATTCCAATTGTGACCCCAAATGAAGCTGCTCAATTGGCTGCAAAATATCGAGGACAAGGGTTTCAAACTCTGAAGCTCAAAGTAGGGAAAAACTTGAACTCGGACATAGAAGTTCTGAAGGCTATACGGCTAGTCCATCCGGACTGCTCATTTATCTTGGATGCAAATGAAGGGTACACAGCAAACCAAGCAATTGAAGTTCTTGACAGACTGAACGGTTTGTACTCTCACTATGTTCAATCTTTTCACTCTTTAATATCTCAGTCAGTGTGATGTTGTATGGTGTTTTTAGTACTATAACTTATTTATTTCATTGGTTTCAGAAATGGGAGTGACTCCTGTACTCTTTGAGCAACCAGTTCATAGAGATGACTGGGAAGGTCTCCGTGATGTTAGCATTGCTGCTATGGAGAAATACAGAGTTGCTGTTGCTGCTGATGAAAGCTGTCGTGGTTTACATGATGCTCAGAAAATTATACATGGAAATCTTGCTCATGTTATTAACATCAAACTGGCAAAGTTGGGGGTTCTTGGAGCCCTCGAAGTAATTGATGCTGCAAGAAAAGCTGGTATTGCACTTATGATCGGTGGTATGGTCGAGACTAGGATTGCCATGGGCTTTGCTGGTCATCTGGCCGCTGGGCTTGGTTGTTTCAGGTTGGTTAATTGTGAAAATTCCCTGCAAAAAGTATTACTCCCTCAGTTCCATAATAAGTGTCGTGATTTTAGTTCAAAATTGAAATGATGGCATGGAGTTCAAACTAGAAATGATGGCTGTCAGACCAGGTGCTTAAATGGTTCTTCTTCCTTTGTGGTTGCAGTTTTATTGACCTGGACACACCTCTTTTATTGTCTGAAGATCCAGTGTACGGTGGCTATGAAGGTATTCTTAGAAAAAATCATGTACATATGCAATTTCCTTTTGTAAATGTGTTACTTTATTCATGTATACTACAGTTATAATTTCAGCTTGTTTTCATGTAATGGCACAGATGTTTCAGTCCATATTGTGAAAAATATGCTGTTACCTGTCAGTTGTCTATTGCTACTATGTATTATTAAGCTGGCATTCCAATGCTTATGTGCTGACATCTCAAAGCAAAATACAGCTCTATTCATGTTTGTTCAAAATCTATTTGTTCTGTTCTTCGCAAGCTATGCTATGGATCTTCAGAGTAATAAATCAATAAAATCAGATTATTTACTCTGCTCTCTGGCCTGTACTTACTGTTTTACTCGACTTCTATTATCAGCTTCTGGACCTGTCTACAAGTTTAAGAATGCTCGAGGCCATGGCGGTTTCCTTCATTTGGACAACAACAATGGATGGGTATGTCATAGCTAACTCAGTAACCGAAATTCCTGAATATATGTTTTGTACTTCTCAACATTCAAAATACTGTGGTCACTTAAAAATATAGCCAGTTGCATACATTGTCTAGAGATGCAGTAAACTTAATTACTTAAATTTGCCTGTCAGATACCTTTACATGGCCTCCCACCTAGTATTACAGATGATCTGGCAACAGGGACTTTGTCCTTCAAAATGAAAATATGCATAAGAGTTGCCGATTGAAAGTAAGGTGTTCTTTAGTCTTATTATTGGTACTACGTCTAAACACGCATACGTGTGATTTTTTTTTTCAGAAATGAAGATGGTTAACGCCCGCCTTATCCTCCTGGAGGAACTTTATAAAGCATATCAGCTCATTCAGTATAGAGTGTAGAAGTTATCACACCCGACGACAATCATGTGGAACTGAAATGTAACACAATCAATTGTAAGCCATATATAGCGGTAAAGCTCCTGTTTATGTACTGCTGTAAGTCCTGTGAGGCCTATGATATTTGATCAGGCTGTAGATAGATACGTTCAGAAGGCCAGCTCGGCTGGCATTGTTGCTGTAGTGTAGTACAAGCAGTAACTGTTCCCTCAGTGTTCTCCTTTGTATTTTTCTGGAATAAATGAGACTGCCCTTTGAGCTAGCAAAGTTTACTGTGCATTTCCATGTTTCTGAGGCGTCTATCGTCGAATTCTGCGGCATTTGTGCATCAGTGAAAGAGAAGATTTTGTGGACGAGGCTACGAGCATCTCGTTTCGAAGGGTGAGAGGGGATTAATAGCTCCGGCTGAAGATCAGACCATGTGATTTCTATATATGAAATCGGAGAGGGAGGCCTCTATTTTGCCCAAAAAAGAAATAGTTATTGCTGAAGAAAGAGCACACAATTTTGCTTAAACAGCACTGTGTAACAGCTAAAAGGGGAAACTGTAAAGTAGCAAATTATCAGCCAAAAAAGAAGGATAAAACAAAAGAAGAATTGCACCAGCCGGGAATCGAACCCGGGTCTGTACCGTGGCAGGGTACTATTCTACCACTAGACCACTGGTGCTGTGTTGAAAGAAAATAAATTATAGCCTATAATATTTGTTCTTTCGACAAGATCTGGTTGGTCGACGAGTACGACCGGTGGCCTACGGCACTCTCCGCCGAATCAATCTTGTCTTGGGCCCTCAGCCGACACCTATTATGCATGGGCCGGCGGTAGTAAGAAGGTGCTTGGATGTTGGAAAGTTCAACCATGTTGTGGATTTTTGGGGCACCTCATTTTATATAGTTTATTAAAAATCATATCTAAAGTTTCAGAAAATTCGGAAAAGAATTTTACATGATCATATACATGTATATTATACATGTGTAAAGTCAATAAGTCTGAGAGCTACAGGAAGTAATTGTTCATCATCACATGACAGTCATGTGACTTCATGTTGCTAAACCTTCCTTTTTCGAGTCAAGATACCTGCATATGAGTCCTGAGTAGCCGGAAGGAACTTTCATGCCGTCGAGGCATTTGAAAACTTGATAAAGTTCATCCTCGTCGAGAGTGAAGCAAGCTGGGGGGGGGGGCAATAATCATCTTTGGTTTTGGACACAGTTTTGCCCTTGGCTGACTTGTTGCCTTTGACCCTTGCCTTCTTGGTTTTAATGGATGAGGGTTGACGCTCTTCCCTAATATTGATATCTTTCAAGACTTGTCTTGCCCTCGGACCATCTGTACTCTTTTCTGAAAAAGGGGAGAGCTCCCCATTCCTAGTTCTCCTGTAACTGGATTCCCCGGAAGCGGAACGAAAAGAGTTTTCCATGAGATGGTAAATGAAAATGATTAGTCCCAAAAAAATAAGTCAAAGATAGAAGAGCCTAGATTCCAAATGAAGAAATGGAAACTCGAAAAGGATCCTTCTAATTCTCAAAGAATGAGGGGAAAACAAGTTCATAGTAACAGGTGGCCGTTGAGCTCCTAGTTTGACTATTGGTGCCAGACTACAAATGGATACAAATTGACCTTGTGGATCCGATGATACCACGCCTGGGAGACTTTAAGAAGAATAAGAAGAAGAAGGCGGATTCAATTCTTCAAGTCAAAGTCAAGGGCTACTTTTATAAAGGCTAAAATCACTTATTTTTTGGCTTTGTGACCCCTCCAAACAAAATATTTACTTGTTACTAATAAAAACTCAAAAAGTTTAGCCTACGGCAGGTCCGCCAGAAAAACTCAAAAGAGAAAGAAGGCGGAATATTCAAACAGTGTGCCAAGCAAACTCTTGCACACATTTTTTGTGATATACATCATATCAAGAGAATGGGGCGTACTGAGTAGTTCCCAATACTGCAAGCCCTAGAAAACAGACTTCCTTTTCCATACTTTTAGCGGTATTTTCTCAGAGGACTTCTTCTTTTCTTTCCTGGCTTAGGGAAATCTTCCCAATTCATTAACATTTTCATCATTTCTTCTCCAGACCTCTTATGTGGTGGCCCTCGGGTAGTCCTGGCCATCTCAGGCCCGGCCCTGTCGGCCCACCCAGGCCCAGCCCTAAAATCCAGGGCCTAGGCCCGATGGGCTTTTCCGTGGGCCGGGCTTGGGCCTGAGTTTTGAGCCCACCAGCAGAGGCTGGATGGGCTTGGACTTGGCATATTGGCATTTTAAGGAAGAGGCCCGGCCCACGGCCCTAAGCCCTAAGGGCTTTTTACCAGATGGCCGGGCTTGGGCTTGAAAAGTAGGCCCGATGGTAGGGCCTGGGAGGGCCTGGGCCTCAGTTTTTTGCCATGGGCTTTTTTAGGCCCAGCCCAAGCCTGGCCCGGCCCGGCCCATGGCCAGATATACCCTCGGGTCTCATTAGTGTTGTCAAACAGATCTACACGAGTTCTCCACTCGTCCTCTTTGTCAAGCCACCTTCTATGGCCCATGAAAACTGTTTTGCTACTGCCCTTTTTCGATAGCTGCCGAAAAGATGTTCCATCCATACATTTAACACAACCGCAGTGTCCATGGCATGCCCGACCGAAGATATATCTGTAACCCATAGTCATGAATGGTCATGACCAATGCTGCTCTCATGTGTAAATAATTTCCTGTGCTAGCATCCCAGGTTTGACCCCTTCGGGCTTCCATAATATTTCTAACTCCTCCTTCAACAGCTCAAGATATGTGTTGATATCATTGCCAGGTTGGACTGACCCTTGAATTAGCATAACCATGTGTATGTACTTTTGTTTCATACAAAGCCAGGGAGGGAGGTTGTATATCCATACAAATATGGGCCATGTACTATGTGTGCTACTCTGTTTGCCAAATGGATTTAGTCCATCACTACTGACACCCAACCTAGGGGTTTCTTGGTTCTGCTGTGAATTCTGGTTCTAAACTATCCAGTGCTTTCCACTGACAACTATCTGCAATATATCTCAGAATGCCAACACTTTTAGACATTCTAGTCTTGTGCCAACTCATGTTCTTTGTTTCCTTTGGGTCAGCGAAATAACGCTACAAGCGAGGAATGAATGGAAGGTACCATACAACCTTTAGGTTCCTTCTCTCTGGGCTTGTATCAGGGTTCGTTGCAAGTTGGACACTCTATTTTGTTCTCATACTCATTCCAATATAAGATGCAATCGTTTACGCATATGTGATATCTTACGTGCAGCAAATTACGCAGGCACACGATCTTCTCTTCCTCATCGACACTACGAGGCAACAAATTCCCCTTGGGCAAAACTTTATAAATATTCCAATGTAGCATCCAGACTTGCATGTGTGTTCTTGAATCTTGCATTGATGTCCTGAAGTTTGAGTGTGACGTGCAGGCGGGTGTGCTCGGGATCGCAACCTTCATACAGTGGAGTTTTCATGTATAATTCCATTTGCGCCAACTTTAGAGCCTCTTTAATAGTAGCTCTCTTGGTTGTCATCTACTTCCGAAGCAGATATTTAACATGAGGATCTTGTAGCATTGTAGTCAACGACATATCCTGCGTAACAGTCTCATGATCCTCTTCATGTTCGGGGTGGCATTTCATCATTTTCTCCTCCATGGGCATGTTCATAGTTTCGTCCTTTTGGTAGCTCTACTTCATCGACAGAGTTTTCCGCATCATTGTTTCCTCCTTCTTCATCGCTAACATTCTCCTCACCATGCTTTGTCCATCGTGTATAATCTGCAACAAAATCGTGACGGAGCAAGTGTGCCATCATGCTGCCTTCGAACGGGTTGTGCAAAACTTCATTTTGCATGTCGAACATGGACATAATATCTACACTTCACCCTTTTGTATCATATTTTCCACCGCAAAATTGAGAAAGCCCTTCACATTTTGATCCATATTGAATCTTTCGATAGATCAAGCAGCGCTGCAAAGGTAAAAGTACAAAAATAATTACATATATTACCAATGATGGCATAAACATCGGCATGACCTTTGCTAAAAAAGGGACATATTGAGTGCCAAAATTTTGATGAAATGAAAATGAACCAACGTTTCGCCAAAACATTGGCAAGTCTCTAGACATTGCATGCAAAATGAAACATCGCATGAGACAATAATTCGCGACCAATGCAATTTCTATAGCTAGCAACTAATGACACACACATCCATCACATATCCACCCATATGCGCATGCATCATATATATGCACATAAATTAACGAGAAGTTTTTATCTATTTTACCTCATCAAAGGTGCGGGAGCGGGGGCGACCGTACCTAAGTTGAAGGCACCATTAATGAAGTGTGGTGGAAATTTTAATGCAAGTGTGTGTGTTTGAGTAGGTGGAGAATGTTGGGGAACGCAGTAATTTCAAAAAAATTCCTACGCACACGCAAGATCCATCTAGGTGATGCATAGCAACAAGCAGGGAGAGAGTGTCCATGTACCCTCGTAGACCGAAATCAGAAGCGTTAAGTAACGCGGTTGATGTAGTCGAACGTCTTCGTGATCCAACCGATCAAGTACCAAACGCACGGCACCTCCGCGATCAGCACAAGTTCAGCTCGGTGACGTCCCTCGTACTCTTGATCCAGCTGAGGCCGAGGGAGAGTTTCGTCAGCACGACGGTGTGCTGACGGTGTTGATGAAGTTACCGACACAGGGCTTCGCCTAAGCTCTACAACGATATGACCGAGGTGGAAATCTGTGGAGGGGGCACCACACACGACTTAGACAACTGTCAACTTGTGTTCTAGGGTGCCCCCCTCCCCACGTATATAAAGGAGGGAGGGGGAGGCCGGCCGGCCCTCATAGGCGCGCCAAGGGGGAGGAATCCTCCTCCTAGTAGGAGTAGGACTCCCCCCCTTTCCTAGTCCTACTAGGAGAAGAAG